TGAGGCCAATTCTGTCCATTTTGTTCCAAAGGACATGAATCCGCCAAACTGTCCGGAGCTGCGCCCGGTGGAGCAGTACTGGGCAATAATGAAGCGGGAACTTCGGAAGAGCAAGAAGACAGTCAAAGACGAGAAGGACATGTTAAGAAAATGAAAAAAAAAAAACTGAGAATCTGGTACCGGATGACACTGTAAAGACTTTGATGGAGGGCATCAAGCGAAAATGCGTTCAATTTTACACTCAAGGCTCCATCGATTAACTTTTCTTTTGATTTTTGAAGTTAATATATGTATAAAACTACCCTAAAATTTTGGTTTGATTCTAAACATTATAAGAAAATTGGCATGACATTTTCGGTATCGCAATAATTTCGTGTTCGCCCTTTATTCAACTTGATCTTGAAGAAACTCAGCATGAAAGTGCAGTCTCTTCTAACCGCTATCTTCAACAGATGTTTGGAACTGCACTACTTTCCAAGCATCTGGAAAATAGCAAAAATCATACCAATCCGCAAACCCGGTAAGGATCCAACATTTTCTTCAAGCTACAGACCAATCAGCCTCCTTTCAGCGCTGAGCAAATTGTTCGAGAAACTCATTCTCAATCGTTTGCTCAAGTTTGTCGAGGAAAATAACATTCTCCTTCCGGAACAGATTGGGTTCAGAGAGGGGCACTCCACCAATCACCAGCTAGTACGGGTGATGAATAACATCCGAAGTAACAAAGCTGTATCCAAGTCCACAGCCATGGCCTTGTTAGACGTTGAAAAGGCGTTTGACAATGTTTGGCATGACGGACTTGTGTACAAGCTTTGTAACTTCAACTTCCCATTACATATGGTTAAACTCACCCGTAACTACCTTCAGGAAAGGTCGTTTAAGGTATCGTTGAATGGTTGTTGACACGTTTTCAATCCCAGCAGGTGTTCCGCAAGGCAGTCTGCTGGGCCCCTTGCTTTACTGCATTTACACTTCCGACATTCCTCCCCTCGGAGACGGTTGCGTGTTTTTCCTGTTCGCAGATGATACCGCAATAGCCGTCAAAGGACGGATGCCTCGCGAAATAACGAACAAACTTCAACGATGCCTTAACGCCTTTGCTGATTATGCCACCACGTGGAAAATCAAAATCAATGCCTCCAAAACACAAGCGATCATGTTCCTCCATCGGCCATCGCCCAAACTGAAACCGGCTCCATCTTGTACTGTAATCATGGATGGCACAAGGGTTGAGTGGTCTGCCGAAGTAACCTATCTCGGGATGTTCTTCGATGAAAAGCTCCTCTTCCGTTCGCATGTAGAGACAACTGTAGTCAAGTGGTCTTCCTTTTTTGGTTGGTTGTCTTTATGAAGGAGATTTTCAGCCAGACGCTTGTTCATCTCCGGTGTTCTGCTTTGGTTAGGTGTCTGTATCCACTGATTTGCCGCAGATCCCGCCTCTCAAGGGTGAACAAACTGGCATCAAACAAATCATAGCACCTGCCATCCTCTACGCTGCTCCGGTGTGGAAATCATGTGCACAGACTCACAGGAACAAAATTCAGGTCGCTCAGAATAGAGTGCTGAGTATGGTTCTTGATGGTTCTTTCGACACTAGAATAATAAATTTACACGAAGAGGCAGGCATTGCCAAAATAGATTGCAGAATTAACGAAATTAAGACTAAATTTGCACAAAAATGTAATTTATCAGAACATGCTTTGATAAGAAATTTGTATAGCGGCGCTGGTGGTGTAGTGGTAAGCGTAATTGCCTCTCACCCCAAAAGGTCTGGGTTCAATCCCAGTCGGCGCCGCCGGGATGTTCTGAGGCATAACATCTCTGATCACGCCTTCCTTCGGAAGGGAAGTAAAGCCGTTGGTCCCCGGTTCATGAGTTGATGGGTCGATAGGAAAAAGGGTCCAGGTGTGGGAGCTGCCTTCCTGGCGTCGGTAGCATTGGTGCTCAGCACGGAAAACAAGATCAACGGAAAACAAACCAAAGGAAAAAAAAAGCAATTTGTATATAGTAGATTAGGGTATATAGTAGTTGTAGGTTAGTTATAGTTGTAAATAGTAGTTATAAGTAGTCTCCTTTTTCAAATTTTAAACACACCAATCCCACCAAGGTGATCATTCTTAAAACAGGCCTGATAGGACTAGGAACTGCAATTAATAATAATTGAAATTTCAAAGGAACTAAAGTTGAAAAGACGCATCTGTGTCACTTAATAAGCAATACATGTAAACCACACAGCCTCATAGCCTAGTCAGCAAAGGCACGGTATTACCAAGCCGGAGGCGGTGGGTTCGATTCCCGGTCCGGTCGAGGGAATCTTTCGGGTTGGAAATTTTCTCGACTTCCCTGGGCATAGAGTATCATTGTGCTTGCCACTCAATATACAAATTCATGCAATGGTATTGGCATCGAAAGCTCTCAATTAATAACTGTGGAAGTGCATTTAGAACACTAAGTTGAGAGCACGCAATAAGCTAATATGCGCTAAGCAATAAGCTTGAAATGCAAACAAGAAGAAGAAGAAGAAGATGTAAACCACACAAAATCAAGAAATATAGTTAATTTAAAAAATACATAATTTGTAAATTCATAGAAAAAATAACTGGATAGCCGTTCAAAAGACAATTTTAACAGAATCAATATTGGAATACACGTGGTCAATTAAAGTTCTACTGTGCCTGGAAAGGTAAAAAGGTAAATGAATCATTAAACGATGTTCCTTAATAAGTAAAAAAAATCTCCTTAAAATAGATCGGGTTGCTCCTTAAATGATTGATCAAAATACGTTGAAAATCTTAAAATTCTCAGTAAATATTTAAAGTACCTTCCCTGAACTAGATAAAACTGTACATTAAGCATTTGAAAATGCTCCTTCAAATCAAAAGCTTCAGTTTCTACAATATGAGTTTCAGATAAGAAAACTAAAAGAGGACGTTTTTCCTCAACAATCTGACATAATGCTACGTAGTTTGTTGACAACCCCGCAATACTCAAATACAAAAAATGGAATTGATTCACATTCCTGGAACTTGGCTGCTATTTATTGAAACGCAAGCTGCTTTTCTTCTGATCAAAAAGTATTTTATAGAGCAAACATTCCGAGCTAAATGCGGCATGGTTGACATCCAAGTTCATTTTTCGTTCTTTAGTCATTTTCAAACAATTAATACATTTCAATACAGTTGACATACACTCCGTCGTTTTATGTTGTTGGCTGCACCTAGAGCATCTCTCACAATTTTTGCAATCCATGCTCTTGTGCCCAAAATTTTGCACATTTGAAGCATCTCAATCGCGGGAACTATCTAGCACCAATCAAACCCTACATTTACTTTTTTCGCACATGCGATTGGAATGTTTCTAAGGCCCATATTAGGTACTTAATTTATTTTCTTGGTCTGACGTCCTTGCGATGTAATCTGCTATAGCCAATATATATTTGTAGAAAATTTATATGGACTATTTTATGTGTAGGTCGTGAAGGGATCTTAATTTTCCCTAGAGGTTTGAATAGGTCATTCAAATACAATATTTCATTCCGCTGATTTTATGCAGAATTACATGCGTAGTTTTAACTGACCAATAATAAGGGAGGCATTGCGATGTCGGACATTTATGAGATACTGAATGAAATTTTTTTATTCAATTTCAAATATTTCATTCTCGATCGATCTAAGAGATAGAGAAAAAGATTATTTTATAGTATTGAGTTTTCAATAGACCAAAACAAATTTTCCCCTTTCGTGGTCATCATAATTATATGAAACTGATTTAAATAAACTGTGCACCGAGGCATGGGCAAGCAATACAATAATGATTTTATTTTTCGTCTAAAGTATCTTACAATCTGGCATCTAGTATAGGAATTTTGTTCCACCAGATGGTCAGTCTTTCACATGATACCCTTGATTAGACCAATAAGAGTATTTCCAAATAGACTAGCAAGAATACATTAAATCTTAGTAAAGCGCTAATTGTTTCTAGCTAAATGATCTCCGCTAGTAAAATAACACTTTTCTCCTTTAAATCCACTTTTCTCACCCTAAACCTTGGATCTGTAGACCATTATAGAACTTGGCAACAACTTCCAGGAAGGTAACCGGTCCACAAATTATAAGGGTAGGTGTAAATGAGGTGTCACCGATGGTGCCAGGAGGAAAATGAAAACTGACATCCGCTCAACCTTCCCTTTTTTTGCGGTAAACCTTCGCTGTCCACCGCACCTTCGAAGTATGATGATGGACAACGGTTCCGGCTTTCTTCCGTTCTGGGTAAAGTTTTGGTGATGACCCTTTAGCCACGACATTATCGATTTACTTTATTGCTTGCAAGAGTAATTGATCTTTATAAAAAAATTAGTAATTATGAAACAAAAAAAAAACCAACCGACAGGGTTTTCCACTGCCGGCTGACGGAATTCGCTGATCGTTAGGAATATTAATGAGGGACTCAGTTAATGCTAATGAGTCTTTTTCGTCGGGCGTCAATCTTCTTCACTGCTGACGGGTACGATGCCAGGGCTATCGTCTTCATCTTCATCTCACCGCAGCGCTGCCGACGTCATTATTATCATCGCCGCCCGTTGTCATATCAAGAGGGACTTTTGCAGCACCAGCGACAGCCCAGCCCGGAGGAAACGATCCTTCAACGATGATGCTGAGCAAACTTTTACACTTGTCCGCACCCCTCCGAGCCAATGATGCTAGTAATAGAGCTCGCTCAGAATATGTGAGTCTCCTTTTAGCGATAACAATAATAACGATGTCGTCAAGTGCTTCATAATGATAGCGAAAATTTTATGAGTGATAATTTCGCTAATTGCAAAGTTATAAACACCCCTGGAGGGAAAGTGCCTTCCAGAAAGATAATGCTGCGTTGAGATTGATGGGCGTCTTTTTCGTACCTGTGTCCCTGCTACATAAACTTACCTCTCGAAGCGATAAAAATGCAAATGTGTGTATGAACTAATGAATGTTTTTCTATTGCTTTCTTCTCTCTTTCAGCACTCGGAAATCTTGGAAGTGTCCTTAGCGCGCAAGGCCGCCATCAGGAAGCCAAGGAGGCACTGAAGGCGGCCCTCAGCTACCGCCCCAACATGGCGGATGTACATTACAATCTGTGAGTATTCAGAGCCTTTTCTTATTCATTAAAGTGCACCTTACCAAAGAGATATAGGTATTTAGTTGGTTGATATTGTGGTGGAGTTTTGGGCTGTACTACAGTAAATTAAGAGCTGGTTACTCACTGATTTTTCATATGTGGCCCGAATCCGCCTTCTAAGCAGTGACCATAATTGTAATTTGGAGATTTAACAACAATTTAGTTTCCTTCTAACTAAAACTAGGGTACGGATAATTCTTTGCCTGCAATCAGTACGCCGTATATCTTATCAACACTAACCGGTGGATCTAAATGCTGTGAATTATCGGTCTATGAAGTAGGCCTTTCTCAAGGTACATAAAGTCATTCAAGATTTTGGTCATATAGCTTTGGGATCTTAATCTCAAACCAGCCCTCATGAAGATCTCATCCCCTGGATCGAAACGTAATCAACACTTTTTTTTATTGAAGACAGCAAATCCGAAACTATGTTATTAGTTATGCTTGGTTTTTAAACTTCACCGGTGCATTTCTGAAGTCATTGTAATTGTCTAAAGATCTTTGACTTCAATAAAGTTTTCTGCACTTTTCTGAATTTTTAAAAACTTTTTAAAAGCTCCAGCAATATTCATGCAGTTAATTGACCTGCCTTGAAATTCTTCGGTCCGTCCTGAAGCTCACGCAGTTTTCCTGAAATTGGGATAAGAGCCAGTCTGTGGCAGAAAATCTCAATCATAAAGACATAAATAAAATAAACCCTGATGTTTTCGATACTAATCGAATGGAATTTTCATAAAATTATTACAATTTTCCTGAGCTTCTCTGGATCTGCCAGGAATTTTCGTTCCTACATGAAGTTTCCTTAATTTTCATGAAATTCTCAGAACTTCTCTTACGTTCCAACAATTTTCCTGGTATTCAAGGGACTCCTGTGAAGACTCCACAATTTTGGAAGCATCCATTAAAGACGTCACGCTGTAAGAAAGGAAGGGGACTAACAAAAGTGTGATGATCAATGCATTAAGTATAGGTAAAATGTGACGAAAGGGGGAGGAGGGGTTGTTGTTCCTCAATTTCACGTGACGTACTTAATGAATGCTCCTTGTGCAGAAATTTTTGAAACATTTTTGAAACTTTTGAAAAATTCTATAAATTTTCGGTACTTCTGGAAAGTTCCTGGAATTAATTAACGAAACTGCTTCAAAGTTTTCTAATCTTCCTGGAACTACACGGAACGTACCTAACAATAATGAAACTTCCTTACAATATATAAACTTCTCTGAAGATGTCAGCAATTCCCTGTTAAAATTTTCGGGATTCCCTGAGCATTTTGGAGCTTCTGTAAAGTTCTTGCAATTTCCTTGAAGTTAAGGGAACTGCTTTGAGGTTCTATGATCTTCCCTGATGTTCTCGCAGCTACCTTCAAGATCTAAAAAATTCTCATGAAGTTTTTGGACCTGCCCTGAAATCAATAGATCTTTCATAAAAATCTTAAAATATTCTGTAAATTGCGGGACTAACGTAATAATTCTAAAATATTTCTGACATTTTTAAACTTCTCCGGGTTTCTATGAAATTTCCAGAACCTCTTATAGTTTCTAAAAAATTTCCTAATACTATTGGCGCTGTCCTGAATACATAAAGATCATTAAACTTAAAGCCTTGACTTTTCTCAAACTATTGAGACTGCCCTTAAGATTCTCTGGAGATCTTTAGAACCATATTTTTCTTGAAAATTTCCTCAATCGCCTTTAATTTTTTGAAACATTTCTGATGATTTCTTGAAAACTTCTAAGTTTCCTGGATCATACAGGCTAAGATCCGGTAAGCCATACATAGATTAAGTTTACCCAGATTGGGCACCCAAACATGGGTTAATATGATCCACATATGGGTTAGTTTTAGGCAAATTTGACTCTAATTTGGGCCTATATTTGAAAATTTACCTATATTTGGGATTGTTTGCTTTACCGCCCGATTTGGGTTTACTTAATTTGTATATGATTTATCTGAACTTAGCGTGTAGAACTTCATTAAAGCTACTGCAGTTTCTTCGAAGCTGATAGATTCGCCTTGAAGTGGAAGCAGATTTGCCCAACACTTTGCAGAAGTTCCTTCATTGTAACGCATGAAACTTCTCCGAAATCCTTAGTATTTCCTTTCATTCATAGAAACTTCTTCCAACAATTTTTGTAACCCCTCTTCAAGTTCTTTAATCATTCCTGAAGTTCTAGCTTCTCTTCTGATGATGGTTTTAAGATACAAATAAAACTGCCACATTAGACCTATACATTTCTGGACTTTTCTGACTTTCCTCGAATTTATCGCAACTTCTGTGAAGTTTTCGAAATTGGTGTAAAGTTCTCTAAATTAACAGAAATTTTTGAAACTACTAGGCTCCCACTAGTGTTTCATACCCGGGAAAGTTTTCCCGGTAAATTTACCAAAAGTCACGTTTCCTGATTGCCGGGAATTTGTTCCAATTTGCCTGGAAACAATTTTAAAAGTATATTTAGGTGAAAAATATAAGAAATTTCTCAGAAGAATCATAAGAAACATCTAAGAAAAAGTTTGCAGAAACGTCCAAAAGTGGCCTAAAGAAAATCGGATGAATGCTCTAGGTGAAGTCTGAGGAATTTTAAAAGGAAAACCAGAAGAAATTTCAGGGTGCATCCAGAAGTAACTTCCGAAAAAAATCAGAGACATTTTTATGCGCATGATGCATGATAGTGGTTTACCACCCATTGTAGCTCGGAAACTGAGTCCGATAGCAGCGGGCTCTCTTCTTTATTTGTCTTGATCAAGCTTAATAACCTTTAATTGTCCAAAACATGTTGCTGTATCAAGGGCCAAAAACAGATTAGGTGGACCGATAGGCAAAGTCGCTTATTCAAATATACGGGACAGTAAATAATCTCCTTCCAGCAACTTGACCACACAATTGATCAAAAAGACGAGCCCCCAAACAGCAAGATGCCGTAATGAGTGGAGAGAAGAAGCCCACCCTATATCCACGAAATGTTAACTATAAAGGGTTGGCATTCCCACTCTCCCCGTTCAAATCGCTTTAATCGGGTGCCTTGATGGTCCCACCCAATCCCAGCTGTTGGCCGAGCCAACTGGAGGGAGATTTCCGACAATGAACCACCACAGGAATTTTAGGTTGGTTAAAATTTCGTTTAGTGCCTCCTAACCTCCTTTACCACGATTCCACTGAGCCAGATCTCCCAATTTAGGTTTAGCTTTGTTCAAACTAGTATTACTAAATTATAGAATAAACAACTTGTGAGATAACCAATTGTAGGGTAATAAATTCTAGGGTAACCAATTCTAGAATAATCAATAAACCAATTTTAATCGTAACTGCTTATAATTGTAACTGACTAAGCTCAAAAAACATCTAAATGCACTAGATTAAATTATTGCCTTACTACGATACCGTGGCCTTTGCATGAATCAGCAGTTTGCTTGTTCTCTCTCCCTGTCAAATTGCCTTTCATCGACCCTAACGCCAGTCATGCCAACGGTCGATGAAGACAAGGTGTTGTTAAGGTAGGTGCGTACCGTCCGAGGGACGTGACACTCCCCCCCGTACGTGGACCCGGTCCTTCGGTCCAGCTTACTCCGTCTCGCGCCTGACATCCAACACTGCCAGCTTCACCGTTGGCCGCTCGTAGATCCCGCTGATAGTCTGCACGGTAGCCTTACGAGTTTGTCCTCCGCTGGTTACCACTCCGATGACCCGCCCTTTGGGCCAACAGTTTCTGGGGTTCTCGTGGTCCGCAATGACCACAATATTTATCTCCTACCTGCAAAGGTTTCATCTTCATGTGCCACTTCGAGCGCCGTGTTATATCGGGAAGGTAATCCCTAATCCAGCGTTTCCAGAACAGGTTTGCTAACCACTGGGACGTTGGGAACCCTCGTTGTAACACCGCAGTATCCGCATCGATCGTCGTCAACGGCTTAGATCCATCAAATGAGCCCAAAAGGAAATGGTTGGGAGTTAAAGCTGGTGCGACTTCGTCGTCGATGGGCACGTGAGTAAGAGGGCGCGCGTTGAGTACACCTTCTATTTCCGTTAGAGCGTTCCTTAACTCTTTATCGCTTGGTCGTCGTACACGTAGAACTTCCACCAGATTGCGCTTGACCGATTGGACTAGACGCTCCCAACTACCGCCCATGTGGGGCGACGCTGGTGGGTTGAAGTGCCAAGCCGTGGATGAAGTAACGAACTCGTTCATTAGTTGATTTTGGTCGATTACCTGATGGATCTCCTGTAGCACCCAGTTGGCACCCACAAAGTTGGTTCCTCGGTCGCTATAAAAGGCTACAGGTGTACCTCTTCGAGCGATAAAGTTTTTTAAAGCCATAATGCAAGAGCTTGTTGTGAGAGTGTTGGCTACCTCAATATGGACGGCTCTTATCGTCAGGCTAGTCAGTAGAACACCCCGTCTTTTCTCGACCCTTCGACCCACAGATACCTCAATTGGGCCAAAATAATCGCCCCCCACATGTGCGAATGGCCTTGTGTATGCGGACAGCCTTGCTGCTGGAAGATCGGCCATTTCTGGTGGCCGAGGAAGAGCGTCTCGGTTTTTGCACCACTGGCAGTTCTTGCGAATTTTGGCTAGAGTCTGTCTCAAACGGAAGATGCTAAATTTTTGACGGACTTCATTGACAACGATCTCGTAGTTGCGATGGAAATATTTTTCGTGGTAATGTGCAAGTATTAACGATGTCACTGGGTGAACTGGTGGTAAAATAACAGGGTTCTTCGCGTCACTATGTAAATAGGAGCACACTCCGGTTCTGCCTTTCATTCTCATGACACCCAAGTCATCTACAAATGGACTCAATTTATAGATAGAGCTGGTCTTCGGAATCTGCTTAACTGTTGCCACTTTTGCATCCAATGTTGCGACTTCATCCTTGTATACATCCCGTTGCGCTTGTCGTAATGGTATGCTTCAGCTTTTCGTAGCTCTTCGGATGACAGAGGTCCGCACGTGGTGCGT